AGTAGCCTATGTTATTATGTTATAGTGTAAAACTTCCATCCCCTTTTAGCGAACATTTCATATAGGAAATAAACTGTTACCGAAGTACTTATGGTAAAACATAGACCCGAAACCGATTTACGTTTTCATTTCGATGCCCCCAGAAGCCTAAAGCACCATCCAATCAAAATATTATATATGTGTTTATATACATATATATTTATATATATATAATATAATATATCCATGTTATATACGTGTCCGTAAACATGATAACTCTAGTAATTTTGGTTCAATTTTAACGAAACCTGCATAATCGGTCCATGGAACAGGGTTTTATGTGGTAAACATTTTTAATCTTTGACCCTCAAAAGACTAAGTTTCCCAATTTTTCTCTAGAGCATTTTAAAGAGCTTAAAGAAAACAAATAATTCAGTATATTAACGTGTTTTGTAAGTGTATTAGTTACGAATAAAATTCAAAAATTTTAATTTTAAAACTCCATGTTATTTTTTAGGAGAATAGTGTGAAATTATTTTTGACTGGTATTCATAGATATGTCTTAGTAAAACTTGTCAAATTTATTTGTTTTATGCTAGGCTATTAATATTTTACTATAAACACACTTTATTAGCCTCCTTGTAGCAGCAAACCTAAGTATTCATTAAACTCAATGCTATTTCAGATTTAATTGAAGATCGGGCAAATGAAAATTCGCTTAGTCTGCAGGTTTGCTGTGACGGGGGTATTTAATATTTTGTCTTACTCCTTGTGATCTTTCACTCTTACTCTTATAAAGTAGAGAATTAGTTATTTTCAATAATCCCCTTTCATATAGAGCATGGAGATAACTAATTTTATCACTTTATAAATAAATGTTTAAATATCGTAAAAATTGGAGTGGTTTAATACACTTAAAACTAGTCCCAATTGATTTAAAATAACTAAAACCATCGAAAACCACACCTCACTCGACCTTAAACGTAAAAACACAATTATTCAGGAACAAGGGCCCCTCGGAACAAAAAAAGGCCCCAAAAAGGGTCTTAGGACGCCCAAAATTTTGGGGACTCATCGGACTTGTCGGAACTCACAGGTGAAATTTCATGAATGTACAAATTTTGTTGTTTATATGGAGTGTTTTTGTATTATTTTACCTGTACTATATAATTTGTTTTAACTAACAGCTGGTTAAATATAAATTATGGAACTATGAGGTTATTTTATTTACTCTTATTTTGTAATTGATTATAGGAAATAAGTAAGATTAGTAGACCACCTAGATAAGTAACACCATCGATGTATACAAGTCGAGGCTCTGTACACGAGTCTTAAAAAGAGGATATGCTTATTAATTTACTGCTCAACCTTTTTAGGAAAGGGTAGGAAAATCCATTTTTTACAAGTTTTAATTTATCTTGGTTTGTTTACAATCAATGTTTTTGAATGCTTAAACTTTGTTTGGATTAGGCCCGGAAATATTTATGTCATAAAGGAGATCAAGAATCTTCAGGAATACGATTTTAAATTACCACCACAACCTCAGACGGGTTTTATCCAAAGATATATAGATGAATGAAATAGATTGAGTACAACGTCAATTCCTAGGTCAATCTTTTGTGAAATCTAAAACGTTGTTTGGCGTGTGTTTAGTTGTGGTTTAGTTTGGAGGCTTTGAATATTTTATGGTTTAAATAAATGAATATGGGGGATTACAGTGTACATTTATTCAATGAGGGTGGTTTAATTATTAAGGATATTAGAACTGATAACGGAATGGATAATAAACATAGACAATTAATTACGTCACTAGCTCTACTAGCGTGTTTACGTTTTAAATTTCTTCACCATGTGACCAGTTAGTTCTTTTGTTCAAATGAATATTATTTTATTTTTGACTCAGCTGTTTACCAAAACAAACTATATGTTGATGTTTTTACTTTTCTTTGTTTACACTTATTTATTTAGCAATTGATGCAGTGAAATTGATATGTGTGGACGATTCGTTTAATGATGTCAGGACACCAACGTTATAATTATGTGTACTGTGAATTTTATTGGATGTTTTCGTTTTATTTTAGGGAGTTTCTATTCAGACCTACTGGAAGTTGTGTATAGTATGAGTAATTGTATTGTGGTGATATTGATTATTAAAGAGGCGATGGAATTGGAAGGTGATATCGTTGACTAGGCCTATACACTACTTCTCAATTGATAATTACTCTTTCAACTGTAGGCTGCAATAAAATTTGGCTTTATACGTGTAAGCTAACTGTTCTGAATTATACACAGTTTTAACTGACTACTCCCGTACGTAGGACGGGCTAGCACCTCGTTTCTATTAATTATTAAACTACGGATAAAAAGTGTGACCGGGTATCGAACCCCGATCTCCTAGATGCAGGTCTGATGCCCTATCCATTGGGCTACGACAGCAATTATAGGTCCGGCGTTTATAGGTAAATGACAACATCAAGCTCCTAATTTACATATACAGGGTGTGTAAAAAAACATTATATTTTTATTTTATTTCATACATATCTATATGCTGTAGTCCATAACAAATGCGAAACAAATGATAATTAATTATCCAATGGCTTAAGCGGAACTTTACCATTAAGTATAAAAAACGGCCTTTGTAAAAGCCACCAAATGTTGAATGTTAAATTTACATTTCATAGATGTTATGTATATTTGGGGTGTCTAACGGGGTAACGGGAGTGTGTAAATGTTTCTTCCTAGCGGTTGATTGTGTATGAAGCTGTGTATGAGCCAGAGGTTCACGGGTTTGATCCTTACTGAACGTTTCATTTCCGGTTGGGGTTTTTTTGATATAGTGTTGTAACGTAGTGGGAGCAGTTGGGTATTTAACACTAGAAGCAGCTAACTAGTGGCCTTTGTTTGGTCATGTCTTGGATTTCAGTGTTATCATATGTTTCTGTTTGTCGTTAAACGCAATATTTTAAATAATTAAATTGCTTATTTACACATTTTGAATAGGGAGACAAACATACAGTAACTAACAGTACATGGACAGTAAATTTTATTAATCTGTTATGTCGTAAACATTTATCAATATAAATTACTGTTGAAGCGTTTCAACCCAAAGGAAAGTTCCAGGTTATAAAGACATTTTTATAACGGCTACATCAATAAGGGCACGTGCCACTTTATATTTTAATGCTGATATCTTTGTGTTTAAACTTTACATTAATACTATAAAGGAAATACGCTTGATTTGTCAAACAAATATTTTAAGCTTAAATAACCGTGTAGTCTAAGGTGGATAACCGGGTGATGGGTAGGGGAGGGCTATTACATAGTTGGGGGTGGGTGGGGTGCTAGGAGGCGGGGCTTCGCCTCCGTGAATGGAATGGGACTCCTGACGCAGGTAGAGCTGAGGATTATAAGGGTTAATCTGGGACCGTGGGCGAACTAGGACTAATTAGGTTACGGGCGAAATAAAACTCGGGCGGAATAGGACTACAAGTGGCGAGACCACCTTCTGTTGACTTCATCTCTGAATCTCTGAAGACTTTTAGAAGCTCTTTCAACCAGCTAGTCAGTAGTTCCTAGAAGGGTTTTTATGTTCCTCTTGGTCACATTTTGAATGTTAAGGGAGCCAATTATCGATTGTTGTTATTCCTGGATTGTTATCGTTGTTAGATATGTATTCATCTTATTATAGCTAGTTGTATATTGATTATAGCTTATTCAGATATTGATTATGTTATTATTGTTATGATATTTTTCTTTTTTTCTTGTTTTCTGTCATCTACCAGCTGAACTATTTCGAACAAAGTTGTTTGGTGTTATTTAAGATGTTATCTTAATTTGGTATATCATTATAGAGTCTATAATTGTTACTTCAGCTGCTAAATATTTTTTATTATTTTGTTATGCTTGATTGCTGATTGTTGCTATTTTCAACTCTTTTTGTCAGCAACTTGTACATTTATTATGTAAATTGGTATGTACCATTTGGAATAATTAATAAATAAATACCCCCACTGCAGTAAACCTTCATACTTAGCGAATTTCCATTTGCCTGATTGGATTTATTCTCAAATGTCTCTTTAAAATTATTACATTTATTTTCTATTTAAATATAATTGGTTTAACGAGTACTTAGGTTTGCTGCAACAAGGATGATGTATAAGTGTTTTTGTTGTAAAATGTTAATACTGTAGTTTAGTAAGGAATGAATGTATTTTCCAAATTTGATCAAAATATGTTCATAAACAAGCAAACTACAACAGTTGACTTATTGTCCATAAGAATAACAAGGGAATTTTAAATTTACAATTTGTTGGCATTTTCTCCGTAACCATTAGGCGCATAGTAACGCTTCAATATACTAAATTATTTGTTTTTTTAAGCTCTACAGAATGGTTTGGAAAGAAATTGTGAAATGTTGTGTTTTAGGGTCAAAAATGGGAAATACCTATTTTTACCCTCATAAAACCCCCCATAAAACCCCCCATAAACCCCCGTTCCCATAGTCCGATCATGCTGGTTCGCGAACTCGTTCGAATAAATGTAGGTTTACACGTTTGTACCAAATTTTATCAAAATCGGATAATTTTTGCTCAAGTTATCGTGCTAACGGGTATATATATATATATATATATATATATATATATATATATGAATTTGAATGGATGGTGTTTTTGGCCTCTAGGGACCTCAAAACGTAAAAGTAAATCGGTCCCGGGTCCAGGTCTTACCATGAGTAATACGGTAATAGCTTATTCCCTTTATGGGAAATTTGCTAATAAGGAGAAATTTGCCTGTTTTGTGAGAACGATATTTCGGCATTTGCGCAAACTAGAAATACTAGAAACCAGAAATACACAGTCCACACCACGAAGTGGGTAAACATTTCTGACATTGTCAGAATTCGGCGTTTGAGTGTAACGTATGTACATCGATGACTCCCCATTATACATCAAAATCTCCAGCATGTTAGTCATGCTAGGATACTTTTAACTTTTCTAAGTGTTTAAAAATGTACTACTCACAAAAAAATGTGCTTTTATTGCCTCCAGGCAACCATATTCTTTTGTTGTCTTGCAGTCTGGCTGGTAGTTGTGAAACAAAGTGTAAATACGTCTATCTGGGTAGTTTTCATATCTGTTTTCGTATGTAGACTAGAAACCCCAAACAGGTGATAATCAGACTCGAATCAAACTTTGGATAAGATAGATTTATGTATGCATTTCATTCCACGCAATTATTTAGTTACTACGATTCCTGTAGTAATATGTCGGAGTATTTTAATGTGAAGTTTAAGACCCTAATGTGTAAATCTTATTTTTAATCTAGTGCATGTATTAATGATTTAATCACACGATTGTATTTTTTTATAAATAGACAAGTTTAAAAGCTGAAGAAGAATGGGTGTTTAAATCTCAGAAGAATAGAACCACATTCATAAAGAATCTAAATTAAACCCTTGACAAGAAATATTCTGGCAGGTTAATGAGCATAGTTTATTAGTTGAGATAATGATTATATACTTACTTTGTCAGTAACATCGACGTATATGTACTGTAAAATAAGTTTCAATCATTATTCAAGCCAAATACGTGACAGTAATAGTTAAGTGGTAACTTTAAAAAAATTGCAGTTGAAAGAAATAATTTCTATAAAAGCAAATTTTCTATTTATATTATTCACTGGCGGAGGAATATTGGTTGATCTCCGTAAAAGTTAAATCATATATAGACAGGTCAACAAGGTACAGAACAGGTCAGGTGGAGGTATGTATTATCCAACAATAAAAATGTCCTATACTAGCCATAGCATGGGGAATCAGCACAAAATTTGACTAAAACTTGGTTAGGACAAACAATTACAACACCTAAAGAACACTTAAAACCAACTAGTTTAAGCACAAAGTAAAAAATACAATTTCTTATGGAAGAAAGGGACAAAGTTATTTTCTTCCAACAGTTCTAATACTATTCTAATTTTTTATTATTTGTGAATATTCATGTGCAGAGCTTTTTCAGTAAGAGGTCATGTTCAACCAACAATATTTCTAATTTTGTTGGCCAACATTGAATCTATCATAAACAATAAGAATTCACGGCAGACGAAACAGGAAACCCAGACAGCAAAGCAAAATGCACATAGAAATCAAGGTAGAATGAATTTGCTTATAAGGAAATGTCTTGTATTTCTTATAGACCATTTAAAATAAAATTTAGCTGCTGAATACTATATGTTTCAAGATACGTGCCTACCTCAAACTAAATCAGGACGTGTACATTTGAATAGTGTAAATCTGTATGTAGCTTTTGAGTTACATGCAACCAACCTACAAGTTTGATATATATGGCAAGGCCAAGCTACTGTAATATCATCAATAAAATGTTTAAATTTTTGAATATTTAATTCTTACAGTTCACAATAATAGGCTAATATGGAAGAAACCACCATTTCTATAGGTCAAATCAGTTGTCCGAGTTAAATAAATAGCTTCTAGAAAATCAATATTGACGAGATAACAATACCTATTGATTTATATTTTTTATCAGACATAAATCGTTCTTATCATCTCTACAGACTCAGATGTAAAATGTTAGGTTTCATGTGTATCAAACTAAAATTAAACTGGCGTAACTTGACATTTTCAACTTATTTTCATCTGCACATTGGCATCATGGACATTCGGTTAAACATTAAACATAGCACCCTGTTTATGTATGCCCATATTGTATACTAGCTGTGTGCCCGTTCTACGCACGGGGATCTTATCGTAGTCAGATGAAACCTTCTTATATTAAAAACAGTAGTTGGTTTGCATATTTGCAGATATGCTGGCAAAACTATTATATATAAACTTCGCAAATACAGTATCTGAGAGTTCAAGCCAAAATAAATGCTTCGCAATTAAATGCCACCGTGGATCGGTGCCAATTAATTTGATCGTGTACTCCATATGTTAAATCCAATGACTAAACTAAAAAATACTTTATAGATCCATGAGGCATAGTCCAGGGTAGGCCTATAATTGAAAGATACTTTCAACAATGGTTAAACGTATTTAACCTCACCATTTAACACTTTATTCCGGTTGACATTTTCATTATCAAAGGTGCTATTGTCCATTTCGTGAAACACTGAGAAATAAGGACATTAATGCGTTACCAACAGACATACAAAAGTACTGAATTTAATTAAGGTATTTGCTACGCTTTAAGCAAATTTTATTTTTCTAAAAACGTTTATGCATGTTTACTTAGCAAGATGAATCTGTATTTGGCTTATACAGGGTGTTCATTTGAAAACTTTCCATATCTGTTGTGTGCAAAGGTAAGGCTTTTAACAATTGTTTGTTCTATTTTCCCCCTAATTTGGACATGCCAAATCCAATAAAATTATTTTCAATTTTGAAAAATGCCCCAAAAGGGCCCAATTAGGGGGGTAGGGGTGCTTTTTGAGAAATTTTTAAATGTAAACATGGATTGTGTGATACATCAATTTAAAGGTCTAATCATCCCGATCATTTTGGTGCAAAAAAAGTTTAATTATCTTTAACCGTATTTACAGGGTGGGTCAAAACGTTTTAAAAAAGGACTTTGAAGTTAAGTACCGTATTACCCTAACTACTGAACGGAACAGCGCCAAATTTCTTTCCAAGCTTATTCTTGAGCTACTCTTTAAGATAACTTGTAGTAAGGGCATTTTCCAAGTTATTTTCTAATTTTAAAAAAATCTCAAATTTTAAGAATAAAAGAAAGCTGAAAACTCAAAATTCTTAAATAGCAAGGTATAACAAATTTCATACCATGTGAAAGGTCCTTTTTTAACAAACATTTTACGTATTTAAGTTTTCTTTCTATCTCTTACCGTTTAAAAATTGCAGTAGAAAAACCTAATTTTCTATGGAAAAATTGTAACTAGTTTTCTAATAAAACAGCCAAAATTCGTCTCTAGACACATTAAATGGTGCAATAACTGAAGGAAACAATTCATAATAATTTTAGGCAGATAGGCAAACAAGTCATTACGTTTTACTTTGTGAAAAACAAGTTTTATAGCTGATGAGAAAAAAACCAAGCGTGGGCCGCTTTCTGTAGTACCATTGACTGTACTAATTTCAAAAGTACCATTTCCTGTAGTACCTAATCAAATATGGTGTAAACTTAAGAAAATAGACTTTATTTTACTTATTGGTCATAACAAAAGTGTTCCAGGATAACTGCAAAGTGTTTAACAATAGATATCCAGGTATAACCTTGAGTCATATGGCTGTAAATGATTTAGTTAGGAAGTTTTCTGAAACTGGCTCAGTTACCAATGAGAAAAGAACAGGATGAAGGGTCCAAGATGAATTCTGACACACGTAAAAGTAGTCGATCAATTTGTTATGAATCCTACTACATCGTTGAACAAAGTGCAATGTGTTTTATTAGAAAACTAGTTATAATTTTACCATGGAAAATTATGTTTTTCCACTGCAATTTTTAAACGGTAAGAGATAGAAAGAAAACTTAAATACGTAAAATGTTTGTTAAAAAAGGACCTTTCTTGTGGTATGAAATTTGTTATACCTTGCTATTTAAGAATTTAGAGTTTTCAGCTTTCTTTTATTCTTAAAATTTGAGATTTTTTTTAAATTAGAAAATAACTTGGAAAATGCCCTTACTACAAGTTATCTTAAAGAGTAGCTCAAGAATAAGCTTGGAAAGAAATTTGGCGCTGTTCCGTTCAGTAGTTAGGGTAATACGGTACTTAACTTCAAAGTCCTTTTTTAAAACGTTTTGACCCACCCTGTAAATACGGTTAAAGATAATTAAACTTTTTTTGCGCCAAAATGATCGGGATGATTAGACCTTTAAATTGATGTATCACACAACCCATGTTTACATTTGAAAATTTCTCAAAAAGCACCCCTACCCCCCTAATTGGGCCCTTTTGGGGCATTTTTCAAAATTGAAAATAATTTTATTGGATTTGGCATGTCCAAATTAGAGGGAAATGAGAACAAAAAAGTGTTAAAAGCCTTACCTTTGCACACAACAGATATGGAAAGTTTTCAAATGAACACCCTGTATATATTTATAAATATTTATCTTGTAACTTGAATCTCATGTATTATTGACTGTAAAAATGGTGTTTACCGTATAAATAAATAAATAAATAAATAAATAAGCATAATAAAGTACATATAAAATTAGTATTTGAAATCTTTGTTAATGTAATTAAATTTTATCATAACAATTTATATTTGCTTAGACCGAAGATGACCTGAAATGCTGTCGAAATGACGGCTTACTATATGAAATTAAGTACATAGACGATTTAGATTGGTAATTTAGAATGCAAATTACTAAAATAGGCCACGAACTATTGATACATAAACAACGTAAAGGCCTAAACAATTTATGATAATTTGCTCAACAAATGTTTTACTCAAATGGGTTATCATTTTCTTAGCATTCCGGGTAAGCTAAGATTTTGGAATCCAGACAGTCAAAGCAAAACTTTTAGAGTTAAGACATCAATAAAATTGAATACGGCTCTAATAAATAAGGTGCAACACCAACGATAACTAATTTGTAAATTACAGTGATGTGTTGGTACGTAAAAATGATTCTTGCAGCTACCAACGGCTCTAAGGAAAAGAACCAGTACCAAAAACCAACGTTTACAGTTAAGAACTATAGTACTTACTTACTTACTTGCATACTTGTATTTATCCCACTGGAAGCTTTTCAGCCGTGGTCGTCATTGGTAGTTGTCAGCCTTCACTCATCAAGGAATTCTTCTACTGAATAATAGGCTTTATTTAATAGAAACATCTTCAGCATTTTCTTGAATTTAGCTTGATCTTCACAGAATCTTATTTCTTGTGGTAATTTATTGAAAATTTTGCTTCCTGAATATTGAGGGCTAGTCTGTGCTAGTGTAGTTCTGTGATGGTTGATATGGATGCTATTTTTTTGTCTTGTGCTGTATCTATGTACTTCATTATTTCTTGGGAAAAAATCGGGAAATTTAAGAACATTTAGGGCCGATTCCAATATATATGCTGATGGCAGGGTAAGTATTTGAAGATCCTTGAATAAAGGTTCGCAGTGCTCAATGAAGTGGGTTTTACAGATAATTCTTAAAACACGTTTTTGTAGTAGAAAGATTCTATTTGCTTCACTACAGTTTCCCCAGAATGCAATTCCATAGCAAAGTACACTGTGGAAGCAGCCATAGTAAACTTTCAATAGGACGTCTCTTTCAACTATGTTTATCAGTCTTCTTATCAGGCAACACACAACTGTTAGTCTACTGGCAATTTTGTTGATATGGTCAAACCACCTTAAGTTGCTGCTAATATGGATACCGAGGTATTTTACGCTATTGCTTGGTTGTATATTCTGATCAGTGATTTTAAGTAATGGACTGAAGTCTGGGATCTTTGTATTGTAGAATTGGAGTAGGTTAGTCTTTCCCTGATTTAATACTAACATATTTTCAGAGCACCAATTACTCATTTCATTTATGCCAGATTGTGTTCTTTCAATGGCATTTTTAACATTTACATC